CCCCATCACCTGAGCCCATCTCCCTCTCTCCTAGGGCCCCATCACTCATGAGCCCATCTCCTCCTGTCCCAGGGCCCCATCACCCTGAGCCATCTCCCTTCTTCCTATCCCAGGGCCCGTCATCACCCTGGGCCCCATCTCCTTCCTGTCCCAGGGCCCCATCACCCTGAGCCCCATCACCTCCTTCCTCTCCCAGGGCCCCATCACCCTGAGCCCCATCACCTCCTTCCTGTCCCAGGGCCCCATCACCCTGAGCCCATCTCCCTCCTGTCCCAGGGCCCTCATCACCCTGAGCCCATCTCCTTCCTGTTCCCGGGCCTCCACCACCTCCTTCCTGTCCCAGAGCCCCCATCACCCCTGAGCCCCATCTCCTGGGACCGTGTGCCTCCACTGGGGAAGGGACAAGAGTGCACTAAGAGTAAGGGCAGTGGGGCCCCGAGAGAGGACAGAGGTGATGAGGGACAATGGGCACTTTGCCGCCCTGGACGGGACCGGCTCCCTCCCCAGGTTTGGGATGGCTTCGTATGTCCAGCGCAACCTGGACGAGGTGGGGGTCGCCCTGCTGCGTGCACAGCGCCCTGTGAAATCCCATCGGGAGGCGGGGAGGGGAGGAAGGCCAGCAGAGGTGTTGGAAGGACAAACACAAAGTTCAGTCTTGCTTCAATGATGGATCGTTTTAATGAACTTAGTGGTTTAGAGTTAGCTGTAAAGTTGGTAAAAATGACCGCCACAGGACCCCTGTCCACCTTCCCGCTCTCATGCAGGTGAGAACACGGGGAGTTAATAGCTCTACTTAGGAGGCAAGTCATCGAACACAGCTTCTTTCACAAGGAGCAGCGTCCTAACCCTTAGATCAAAGGCAGGAGACTGCCACAGCTGGTGGCTCGCGGACCACAGGACTGTCCCGGGCCCCGGCCTCTGTGGCTGCAGGAAGGGCGAGGAGTCAGTGCCTCGGGCAGCGGCAGTTACCTAGCACGGTGAGGTAGGCCTTGGCCAGGTCTTGGTCCAGCTCCGTGCTGGCGACGCACGTGTAGCTGCCCTGGTCCCGCTCAGCCACCCCAAAGATGGTCAGGGAGTCGTCCTCCTTCTTCATCCTGCAAAGGCACCGAGGGTTGGGAGGAGGGCGAGTGGGGGGCAACGGGAGAGACAAGGGGAGTGCTGGGCACCGCCTGCTGCTTTCTCCCTGGATGGGGGGTGAGTCAGAGGGGAGGGGAGCCCCAGGCTGGGCTGGGCAGCCGCAGCCCCTCCTAGGAGACAGGGCGCTCCCCAGCACTTAAGGTGCTCAATAAAGGGGAGAAGGAACACGGGAGAGGCCGACGTGGCCCTGAGCCGCGCTCAGTCCTCAAATGACACCTGCTCTCTGTGCCTTCCTGTGCTGCGCTCCCTCCCACCTTAGACCCACCCCCAAAAGGCAGGGGAGACCCCTCCTCTTCCCATTCTCCAGTTCTATCACCAGCCCAGGCTGGTCTCTGAACTGTCTCCCCTAGAGGGAGGGCACCAAAGAGCAGGCAGGTGTGAGCAGCAAGTGAGTGCCAGGATGTGCCTGCCCTCAGGGGGCACCCCCACAAAACCCAGATGGTCCTTGGAAACAGCTGGTGCCTAAGGCAACCTCAGGGCCCGGAGGTGAGAGAAGGTACCGCAAAGGGCCCTGCGGAGGGAGGCTCGGACCTTGACTGCACAATAGAGACACCTGTGGGCAGGTGTACACACTGTTGGTGCCCAGCCCTCCTCCACACCCACTAAATCCGCATCTGGGATGAGGAAGGGGGCAGGCTTGGGGCTAGTGAAATACTTAAGTCTGCTCTGAAAAGGACGAAGCACTAAGGAACCAGGTAGGCCTGCCACTTGGCCATCCTCAGAGCAGAGCTTTCTGCAGACATTCACAGACGTGGCTCGGGCCAACCCTGCCCTCTGCTGGAGAACAGGGGCGCTGCGGTCAGGGCGGAAGCTGGGGGAGGAGGGGGGCTCCTGGCTGTGATGCAGAAGAGGAGGGAGGGGTCACAATAAAGGAAGGAGGAAAAGAGAAGGAGCGAGGGGAGAACAGTGAAGAGAGAAAGGAGTTGGAAAGAGAAGGAAAGAGAAGCAGAGAGCTGATGGGAGAGGGGGAGAGGGTGCAGGGGGGCGGGTCTCCCTTGAGGCCATCATGCCCAGCCCAGCAGCTCCTCAGGGACAGGCAGGACACAGGCTCCCTATCCCTAGGTTCTGCAGTGTCTCAAACCCCGGACCAGCACCAGGAAGGGGCTAGGGCGGAGCGGAGACCTGTTCCCGATGTAGAGCGGCTGGTCGTCCTTCAGCCAGGAGACCGTGAGCTTCAGGGAGGGGTCGTGCTTGACCCGACACTCCAGTTGCACGGTGGTGCCCCTTTTGACAACCTGGTCCTCAGGCATCCGGAAGATCCTGGTGGGGTCTGCGGAGAAAGCCGGGCGCTCGGCACTGACACGCTCTCTGCCCGTCATCCCAGCGTGGACCCCGTGTGACAGGCATGACCTCCAGGGTAGACCGAGCGAGGGAGGTGGAGAAAGAGTCTCCCATTGCGTGAATGGGGGAAAGCCTGGTGTGGGTGATCCCCGACAGTAAACCACCCCAAATCCTCTCTATCTGGCTTGGGAAGATATGATGCAATTCCTGGGGTGGCGGTGGAAGCCGGGATGGGTAGGCTGTCCTTCCTAATGCCATGGGGACCAGGCGGACAGGACTCGGTGTCGTCCCGGCACCCAGGCCAGCTGGAACCCTGGGAGAACCAGACCCCCTGGGAGTGTCCCGCTAGGGATCAGACATTAGGCGTGTGCATTTCCAAAGTGCAACACACACGCGGGCAACCTGGAGAAGACAGCTTCCTTCCCCAGCTCCACCCCTGTCCCCTGCCCTCCACCTGCCAACCCCCTCTTTACCTTTGACCTCCAGGCGGACCTGGTTCTCGGCTTTGCCCAGGATGTTGGTGGCGACACAGGTGTAGATGCCTTGGTCCTCTTTGCGGATCATCTTGATTTCCAGGCTGCCGTTCTCGTAGACGTGGTAGTTGCCACCATCCAGGTTGCTCCCTTGCCCATTCTTAAACCTCACAACACAGCAGCAGAACACACCACACACTGAGAAAGGACTGGCCCCGCGCCCCGGGGCCACACACTGAGAAAGGACTGGCCCCGCGCCCCGGGGCCAACCACGCGAGAGAGACGGTGTGGGCAGCGGGCGCAGCCCCGCACTCGGAGCCTGGAGCCCTCATCCAACCACGGAGTAGCCCCAGCCAGTGCCTGCCCCTCCCCGAGCCTCGGTTTCCTTCTGTGCACAACAAGGGGGTTGACCCAGCTGATCTGCCAACTTCCTCCCAGCTTTGCCCCTTGCTGAATAGTTATTATGGGCAGATGGGAATGACAAAGGGTGAGGCAGATGACCCCTGCTGGGAGGCCTGGTCTCCCGGGACTTACCATCGGAGTGTGGGGATGGGGGACCCGAAGAAGGGGCAGTCCAGCCGCGTGCGGTTGTACAGGATCACCCGGATGAGCTGGTTCCGCGGGGACATCATGCGAGGCGGCACGTCTGCAATTCCCAGACAGGGCTCTTGGGTAGGGGTCTCACTCTTCCATCCCTTTCCCGTTGGTCTTATCTCTACGTGCTTCCTCCCAACAGCAGCTTTCCCAGTGCCACACCTGCCCCTAACCACATGGCTCCTCTAAAAAGCCTCCAAAGGGCAGGTGAGGGAGGAGGAAGCTTCCCCATTCCCGACCGACCCTCTTTCCAATCCCAATTACCCAGCAGGCTCTGCATCTGCCCCTCCACCGCCCCTCCCTGCTCCAGGAGTGCTGCAAACATCTCAGGACCCCTTCCCGCTCACGACCCGCTCAGACCCCAGGACAGTCAGCATGGACACCCCAAGGAGACGAGACAGAGACAGGCCCACTGGGTGACACCAGGGAAGGAGGGACCGAGGCTGACTTCCGGCGGGGAATGCACTGTGTCTGCACACCTGGCTCTGTGGGTTTTAAGCCCTCCCTCCTCCCCACACATCTCATCTCCAGTCTCCACGCTCCCCCCCGCCAGCCCGGCCGGTCTCCGGAGAGGAACATGAGCCCACGCGTGACATGACCACCCGGAGAAGCAGCGCTGCAGGGGTTCGGGGGGACGGGACACGCACCCAGCACGCTGACGAAGGCGTTGGCCAGCAGGTAGCCGTGCTCGTTGGAGGTGTTGCACTGGTACACGGCCCGGCTGCTGATCTGCGTGTCCCGGAAAATGATGGTGTCCCCGGCCACCTCGCGGTTTGGGTTGGGCGGTGCCGCTACAGAGAGGAAAGACGCTTCTTGTGAGGGCAGGCGAGGGGAACCTGGGGCTCTGTGCGGGGCTCCCCAGCACGATGGGGTGTCACGGAGGCAGCAGCGCCGGAAGGCTCGCAGAAGACCCCGCTCCGGCCCCACCACTGTGTGGCTGGGCGACGTGGGGCCCTTCATCGAACCTTCTGGAGTTTATTTCTCAGTCTGTCCAATGGGGATATGAATTCCTGCTCAACCTACAGCTGGGCAGGTGTGGCTTGATGCCTAAGCTGTGGCAACAGAAAGGGGTCTGAGTTCTAACCAGATTCCTGCCAGCATCCAGTTTCCGGTCGGCAGAAGGCGGATAACTACCACCTTGTGGGGCTTTTATGAGGATGACCTGAGCTTTCAGGCAGGTGTAAAGTCGCTGGCAGGGGGCCCGGCCCATACTGATGATCACTGTTGTGAATATTTTAATCCAATGTGCATATACTTAAGTCTGCTCTGAAAAGGACGAAGCACTAAGGAACCAGGTAGGCCTGCCACTTGCCCATCCTCAGAGCAGAGCTTCCTGCAGACATTCACCAAGTTACACCTGCTAAAGACCGCACAGTCCTTCTACCCGCCAAAGCCACCCACGGTCCCAGCCAAGGTTTCCCCGGCGCAGAGGGAACATTCCACGCCCACGGGTGCATCCGGCCTGGAATCTGGGGCAAATCCAGTCTTTCTGGGACTCATTTCCTTCACCTGCCAAATGGAGAGGAAGTACTCCCACCGCTCCCCTGTCTAGGAGGGTTAGGAGAAGAGAAAGGTAACGGCTGTACAATACACGTTTTCTAGAAATGTAAGAACTGCCGCTTTTCTCATCTTTCATCACCGGGAGGTGACGTTCGTCTGTGAGATTTCCGGACTGGGCCAGAGGACTGGGCTTACTCGGTCCGTGAACTCATCTGGGATCGCTCAGACCGACCGCGGCAGTCGGCCGAGGAGGACTCAGGGTCTGGCCCGTGGGCGCCACTCCACAGATAGCGAGTCTGAGCCGGAACTGGGGAATCAGCAGGCGGTAAGTGAAGTCAAGGTCAGCATCCTTATCACCCTTCCGCACTCAGCAAAAAGGCCCGAGGCCGGCAATGCCAGTGACTTAACGCCTTGCCCAGCGATGCCCATGGCCCCACCTTTCCTCCGGTCACTCCCCGTAAGGGACGGGTGCCCTTTCCAGGGCCACGGCTCAGCTGCGAGTCCTGGGGGCTCTGACATTTACAGCCTCTGTTTGCCTTGTCCCCAAAGGCTGTCAGGACAGGCACGCCCCCACAGGCACGTCCCTGTCTCTGCTGCGTCCAGGGGAGGGACAGTCACTGGGGATAAATGTGTGCTCAGTGCTAGGTGGTGTAGGCATGCTGAGTTCCCACAGCAACCCACAGCTGCCTCCTTACTGGTCACGTGACCTCGGGCAGTTCACGGCACCATCAGAGCCTCGCTTCTTCAACGTTAGTGTTTGAGGTTAAAGAGAGAACAGGGCTGCAGCACCTAGTGCAGTGGCTGGAACGCAGTAAGGGTCTAAAAAGGTGCTCTCACCCTCTCCTGCACCTGCCTCCCCTGCCTCCCCACCGGCTGCTCTTGAGTTAGGCTCTGAGTTCTCGCCATCTATTTTTTTTTTTTTTTTGCCCCATCTGGTTGACATCACCTTTTGCATTCCCTCGGACCCCTTAGAGAAAGTAATGACAGGACATTTTAAAAGTAAATGCACCTGGAGAGAATGATGGGCCATCTTGACCCAGCCCTCTGGCTGAGGGGCCTTGGATCCCCTACTCCAGCCATCCAGGCAGGACGACCTCTCCCCCACGTCTGTGTACACTGAACACTGCACGGGCGCCTCTGTTCTCATGGGGAGGTGCTTCCTCATATCCAACCAGATCGTCCATATTGTCCCGTGACCCCGCCTCCTCGTTTGCCCTCAGCAGAAAGCGGACCCGGGCAGCCAACCACAGTGGGTTACTGAGCTCTACTCTATCTTCCGAGCTCCGGACATCACGCAGAGCCCAAACTCTCAGGAGATGCAGCTGCAGACCCCAAACCTTGAACGGGGCTCTGTGGTTGTTAAGGGCACAAAGCAGAGATAGATGAAAACCCCCAGGGAGCAGAAATGCCCTCAACACAGAGAGAACCCCAGGCCCCTGCCTTCTCACGCAGGCACGGGGCAGGTTTCCTGCCTCTTGAGATGTCCAAAGAGGTGGCTGCTCCCTCACTTCTGGAACAACCAGGGGCACCACAGGGACAAGATCGGGAGCCTTTGATGGCAGGGAGAGCAGCCAGGGGAGACGATGGCTAGTCACTCACATTGCAAAGGTTCCCCATTCACCATCCACTGGACAGTGGGCTTTGGGTTCCCGTTGGCTCGACACACCAGCCTGCCATCCTCGCCAGGAGCCAGGATAAGGTTCTTGGGCTCGTCCAGCCAGTAGGGAGCAGCTGGAAGACAAGGGCAGCACAGGCAGGAGTTAGATGGCGCAGACGGGCTTCCTCTAGAAGACAGGAGCCTCTGAGCGCCAGCCCAGCCCTCAGCGCCCGCCCGGGGCTCATCCTCACGGATGGCTCAGTCCAGCCTGCCTTCGGCCGGCTCAACACCAGAGATGCCGACCTGCCTATTTTGAGTTCACAGAACAAGAGTTCCAAACTGGGGCTGCTCATGAGAGTTCCCTGAAGAGCTTTTAACCAACATGGAGGCCAGGGCCCACCTTAGACCCACTGAATCGGAATCCTCAGGGGAGGTTCCAGGGGCAAATGCTTTAAGAGGTCCTGGTGTTCATGATGGGCACCCAGGGGCCCAGCCAGGGACAGTGGGAAGGCGGGCACTGGGTTGGCCCTCTGGATTTCTGTTGTTGCTGCTGCAAGATGAGACCGTTCAGGAAAGGCCTGCTACATACACTCACTCTCTTAGGCACTGAGCTTTGGGTAGAGCAGAAGCTCATAGCTGGCCACCCCTCTCAACTGTTTGGAAAATTTCACCAATATATGGATACTAGAGGCCCAGTGCATGAATTCATGCACAGGTGGGGTTCAGCTGGCCCACCCTTATTGGGGCTGATTGGGCCGGGCCAGTGGAGGGGGGGGGCGTGGGAGGTCAGCTGGCCCACCCTTATTGGGGCTGATTGGGCCGGGCCAGTGGAGGGGGGCGGGCGTGGGAGGTCAGCTGGCCGGCCCCACCCCTGATTGGGGTGGGGGTGCTGATCGGGCCGCAGTGCACGTCAAAGCAACCAGTCATTCTGGTCGTTGCGGCGTTCTATATATACAAATAGATGTGGATTTTTCTGAGAACAGGGTTCTTTGTACCATAGCTCTTGATACCCCCGAAAACAGCAGTTCTCAATCTGTGGGTCGCGACTCCTTTGGGGGTCGAACGACCCTTTCACAGGGGTCGCCTAAGACCATCGGAAAACACACATATAATTACATATTGTTTTTGTGATTAATCACTATGCTTTCATTATGTTCAATTTGTAACAATGAAATTGGGGGTCACCACAACATGAGGAACTGTATTAAAGGGTTGCGGCATTAGGAAGGTTGAGAACCACTGCCCTAAAAGATTAAGAACCTCTGGTCTGAGTGGAGTGCTGAAACCAAGGTCACAAGTTCAACTGAGTGTGTGCTAAGAAAGTTCTTACACTGTGGGATCAGACTTCATCACCCCAGTCACCCATCCGGCCCGGTGAGAAGTGACTGGTGTCCCCCGGCACCCGTGGCTGGAATCCACAAAGGCACGTGTTCTATTGCTTATGAGGGCTCAGGTGGGCCAGCTACACTTTTAGGGGAGGGACGTGGCTTTAAAAAAATAGTTTGGGCCATGATGACTCCCCATTTTTAAAAAGAAACAAGCACAGAACACAGACAGCACAGGGAGAAGATGACACACTGTGAACAGGAATGCAAAATGAAAAAGGAGAAGGCTCTGGGTGTGAATCAAACAGACCATGACATCCACCTGCTGAGGGAGCCCCAGAGAGTTGCGCTATAGTCACATCTTCTTCCCTCAACACCTCTCTCTCTCTCTCTCTCTCTCTCTCTCACACACACACACACACACACACACACACTCTCACCTCCAGGGTGACACCATCCCTGAGAGGTCACTATTGCCACGGACCAGAGTGTTGAGTTTCCCCCGCTCACCCTGCCCCAGCCACCCTCAGAGGAAAGGGTGGCCGTGGCGTGTAGGGCTGGCAAAATCATCGTAATGAGAAATACACACAACGTACCCTTTACTCTCACCGAGATCGTGTGCCGGATGCTGCCCATCTTGTTGGAGGCCAGGCAGAAATACTCCCCCGAGTCTTCCTCGGACACGCTGGTGATGCGCAGCGCCTTGTTGAAGTTCTCAAACTTGGCCTTGTCCGATGGGAGGTCCCCGCCTTTCTTGTACCACGCGATGTCTGGTGTGGGGCTGGGAGAGGGACCGGGCAGGAAACAAGGATTTATGACAAACCGTGGCTCTGCAATTCTCCTACGGAGCCCAGGGGTCCTTAAAGGCACGTGGGCCCAGGGATACCTGTCCTCCGACAGCTGTTCTCATACAGAGGGCGGCTCAGCGCAGAGCATCTGAGGGACGTGTCTGAGGCCGCAGAGATGCTAACCTGTGCAGCACGCCCGCCCATCTCCTTTCCTCACTATCCAAAGAGAGATGGCCAGGATGGGATGCAGAGGGCTATGCTTTGCAAAGTCCTCACTAAGGGCTGTGTGCTTCTCCTCTGTACCCCGAAACGTGGCGGACAGAGCACGCACAAGCTCCCTCCCCAGCCTCCTGAGGGGGGTGGCCAGAAGTGGGGTGAAGTGGTACGTACACCCCGGAGGCGATGCACTCCAGCAGCAGGTCCATGCCGCGCAGCACCATCTGACTGCTCGCGGTGCCCTGGGGGTACATGAAGCTGGGGGTTCTTTCTGAAACTCCTCGGGCTGAAATAGGACAGAACAAGATGGCTGAGCTCCTGTCCCGGGGGCTGACCCAGATAGGCCAAGGCTGTCAGGCTAGGAAGAGATGTCATCTCGCCTGGCTGTCCCCTTCCCTCAGAGGCACCAGCGCCCGCACCCTCCCAGCCGAAACCACCCGAGGGCTGGGCTTCATTAAGAGAGTGTGTTAGGAAGCTCGGGCTCCTGGGCCCCACGGGCACATGGGTGAGCAGCTCTGCTTCTGGAAGGACCTGCCAAGAGGAGCCGCTTCCCTCCCCGTTCCCCGGAAGTGGGTGGGGCTGCCTGAGCTGCGAGTGGTTTGTTCCCTGAGCATCTTGTGGTGGGACCCCAGAGGCCAGTTGGATGGACCCTGGGGGGCCATCTCAGCAGCAGTGGGAGAAAGGGAGGCACACATTGGGGCCACAGGGCAGATAAGCTGCTCTTGGGGACCCTGGAGACAGGAAGCTGAGATGAAGCCACGAGACCCCGATGAACAGTCAGAGGTGTGGGGAGCGTTACTCATGGGTTAGCAAAGACATGGGGAGAATTAATGAGCAGAGATGACAGGAAATCACTTCTGGGGCCAAGACCATTCTGCTGCATCACTAATGACTTCAGAAGGGGGCCGGGCAGGCGGGTGTGGATTACACGGGAGGCGCTGGGGGAGGGGATCTGCCATTCAACGAGGCGGAGTAGCCACAGGCTGTGAAGTTAATGACGTGCACAGGTGTGAAGCCAGGTGGCCCGCAGAGATGGACACTGTCAGGGTGGCCCTTTCCCAGTGGGAGGGGTCGGGCAAGTCTGGGCAGAGTGGAGCCCGCCCTCCTGAGCTCAGGGCTCCCTCAGGGCTCTGTGTAGTTCTGTTAGTTGGATATGATGGAAGGGAGAGGAGCAAGGAGTTTCCAACCAGGAACCCAAAGCACAGGGAGCCTGAAGAGGCGCCTCTGCCCAGAGGTGTACAAATAGACACACACGTGAGCCTACTCATGGGCTTCCTGGGTCTCCGACTCAGCCAAAAGGGGAGAAGGGGTAGGAGGGCAGAGCTGCCAGGAGCTGGGAGCCCTCAGAGTGCCCGCACACAGAACAAAGGCGTTTTTCTGGGCGGAGCCTGTTAATGGAGGCTGGCAGAGAGAGGACAGCGTGGCCCGGGCACTCCCTGACACTGGGGTTTCCTAAAGGAGCTTGCTGGACTAGCTGGTGCCTGGCTGGATCAGCAGAGTCTAGTCCCAGGGGCACTCAGCTTCTTTCCATTAGCCATTTCGTAGAGTTTGCGCCTGTTTTATCCCTTTGTCAGGGGAAGAAATGATGAAACGCATGCAAAGGTAGTTAGGCGGCTGGAACAACACATGGCATATAGCAAGTGCTCAATGAACACCAGTGGGATGAATGAATTCAAGGGTAGAAGAGAACAAAAAGAAGGCAACAAGCGACCCCCCCGCCATGTTATTCCTCCTGCTGTAGATGTCCTCATCTGTCCCACCAGCACACACATTTACCACAGTGGCTACTGAAGGGGTTAATCCATTATGTGGTTAATTGGTTACCGTCCATATATCTATAACTCTTGTAGCATCCAGCTCTCGGTACCAAGGAAGCTGATACCAAAGCAGCAGCTTCCTCCCACCCATCGTCATGGGATCACCCAAACAGACAACACAAGGTCAAGGGCATCATGAGGAGCGGGAGATTTCAAGCAGGAGGCTCTGGTGTCAGGAACCCTAGGATTATGTAGAAGAGGTCCCAGCTCAGTTGGCATACTCCTTCCTGCAGAGACACCATCTGCAGAAACCGATCTGTGACCCTGTGGACATTTAATTCACACCACAGCACACAGCACCGCAAGCACACATGACCAGCAAAGCATTAAGTGTGGGAAGGAGGAGGAGAGAGCACAGAGTCCCACTGTGGGTGCCTTGACACGCTGTAGCTGTGACTATAAAATGGTGACCGTGCCCGGCCAGAGGGGCTCAGTTAGTTGAGCCTCGTCCCATGCACCAAAGTGTTGCCGGTTTGATTCCTGGTCCGGGCACATACCTGGGTTGCAGGTTTGATCCCCAGTTGGGGAGGATAGGGAAGACAACCGATCAATGTTTCTCGCTCACATTGATGTTTCTTTCTCTCTCTCTCAGCATGTCCTTGGGTAATTAAAAACAAAGGTTATAGCAATACTTTATGTGTAAAATGTGGGCTAGCAACCACAGAATTATCCTCAAAGGGGAGAAGCTACTGGGAAATAAGCCAACACTCAATATAGGGAAGAGCACCCTAGAAGTCAGAGCTAATCATTGGGGCCACTATTGGGTGAGCCTTCACTATGGACCAAACATTGCGCCAGCACCTCTATCTACATCCTCCTGTTCAATCCTCACAACAAACCTGGGGATATCACCCCCATTTTCAGCAGAGAAAACCAAGGCTCAGCGAAGTCAACAGACGTGCCAAGGTCACAAGCAGTTATGTTTTGGATTCTGGACCATTTAGCCCCAAAGCTTTTGTTCTAACATCTACTCTGTATTGCCTCTCTCTTTAAAGATGGATACCTCGCTTATCCCTACAGCTTTGGGAATATGTTTCATGTTCAAAGAAAAACAAGATTCAAGGGCAAAAGAGGTGAAGGAGGAAGGTGTTTTCGTCTTAGTTTCAGTGGTGAAACTCTCCCCCTGTGTTTTCCTCAGATATTGTTCCCACTGTCTCAGGTAAGATGCCATCTCTCCTCGGTGACTACTAAGTACACTCAGGCCCGAGCGGGGAAAGAAGCTGGGCTGGGAACTAAGAGTCTCCAAAGGCATCTCAACTGGATTCTTAAGGCCATGAGAAGCTGGAAGAGGCGTCAGGGCGACACGTGATATCATCCGGGACAAGAAGACTGGTCCAAGGGGAGGTTGTAGAGATGGGGTCAGCTGCAGCAGAAGGCGTTTACATAAAACTTAGGAAGCACTGCCCTGGCCAGGTGGCTCAGTCGGTTGGAGCTTTGCCCTGTACACCAAAAGGCTGTGGGTTCGATTCCTGGTTAGGGCACATACAGGAGGCAACCAATTGATGTTTCTCTCTGACCCTGATGTTTTTATCTCTCTAAAAAATAATAAAATAGTTTCTCGGGCGAGGATTAAAAAAAATGTATAAAAGATAATCCAGCTGTTGGAGAAGTAGACCCAGGAAGAATCTCTGAGACAAAGGTGCTTACCACACGAGGGTCTACGAGATGCTAATGGAAGATGACAGTTTCCAGGGTGACATAGGACACCCTCTTTCACCACGGAGGCGGGGATCCCCTGTTCAGCTTATGATGCTTCCCTTAGGCTCCCTGATTTTCAGGGCTGGGTCGACCCAATACCTGATTGAACTCAGAACCCAGAAGCCTATTTAGGGAGATCTTCCATGTGGGCCCATTGGACCTTTAGCCCCAGCGCAGTCTCTGCTCTCCTGTTCTCACAACTGTGGCTCCAGAGTGGGCATACAGGCTTCCACAGGAACCTGGTCAGCCGGGGACATTAGGCCATGGAACTGCCTCAAACACCTTGACTTCAGGGGCCAACAAAAATGCCTCCATTGTCTCCTGCAGGAGGAAAGGTCGAGGCTGCGGAACGCCCGAGCTGCTCCCCTCTGTCAAGGGCTGTCTGTTAGCAGAGGAGGGTTCAGTGGATCAGATGTACCCAAGAACCTTTGCCAAAAACAGCTTTGAGGGGCAGCTGGATCCTCCGTTGGCTGCTTTCAGTTCTCGGAATTGAGGACTCGTGGGCTGCATCCCTGGCATCTCACCCACTCTCAGGCTCTAGGAACAGCTGACCAACCACCCCAGACGACAAGAAAAACTCCTTATCTGGTAACATCTGCTCTCTCCCGCTGCCGGGAAGTCCCTTTGCAAGTCTAACCCAAACCTCTCAGGCAGCGGTGAGGGCTTTTTCTCCCCCGCTCTCAGCACCACGGAGATCCCAACAGCTTTTGTCTTTACAGTCTGCCCTGAAGTTTCTCCCTCCACAGTACCTTCTTCCCATGACTGTGCCTACCTTTCTCCCCTCGGCGTGCCTTCAAGGACTCGCAGTTCTTCCTAATGTCAGAAGCGTAGGGCAGTTATACTTCAGACAGTCAACACTCAACCATTCCCTTCAATCTCACTGGTGCGCCTGACCCCATGCCAGGAAACATATGCATGTCACCCTATTTCATCTTCACCATGAAACGGTGGGGCAGGCAGTAGACCCATTTTGCAAATGAAAAGGTCTGACACGCTCAATGACTTGCCCTGTGTCCATCAGTGGTGCATCCCAGAGCCCGGGCTGAACTCATGGCAGCCTCCTTCAGCGTGCACACTCTCATCTTCCTCGTCTCCTGGTCTGGGTAAGTTCTAAGTGGCAAGTCAGGGGGCATCGGGCATACATTCAGAGGATACCAAACCACTGCAGAAATCACTAGAACGAAATGAATTATGGGGGCGGGGTGGCCCCACTGCTGCAAAAGGGACCTGCCATGTTTCACAGCCAAGCACAGCGATGCACTGGACATTCTTCATCGCACAGTCTCTCTGCCAGGTCTCTCACTCAGGAAGGACCTTATCTCCGTTCCTTTCTCTTCACTTCCTCTTTCTTTCTAGAAGCATCCAACACAGCTGTCCTTTGTTCAGCACGCGCCTCACTTTGACTTGACAACCTTCTTAGCTGCCATCATGCGTGGTCAGCCATTCTCCCTTGAATTCAAGAGAAGGGGTCCCTCTCATGTTGAGGCAGGACAGTAAGAAGCCAGGAAAGTTCCTCGGCGAGTGGGACGGGGAAACTGAGACCGACAGCTGGACAAAGTGGTCGAGCAACTTACAGTCAGATAGAGACAGTCACCAGGGCAGGGAGCCCCAGGTGCCTGGTAACAGGTGAAACCGGTGCTGAACCTCACCCCGAGGGTGCCTTTCCTCCCCTGGCATATCGCTGGTCACGCTGTCTGGACGTCCTGACCTTTCCTCCCTAGAGACAGCATCGGGGCCTCAGTTGTATTTCAGCTCCAGGCCCAGGAAAGCAGCAAGGCCAGGCGGTGATGCCAGGCCCAGCTGCAATGACTAACGATCCCTTCCCTGGTGTCCATCAGCCAATGAAGACCACGACCCTGAAAGGGCACATCTGGAAAGGTGACGAGTATTCTAGTGCGATCCTCCTCCTGAGACCTCCCCTAAAATCCCTGCCTGCCTTTGGAAAGCAGATAAAACCTCTCAAGACAAAGAAGCCGGTGCTCACTTATATCTCCTTTTTGAATGAATTATCTTCCTCTTAAAGTCTAAGTGTCCCGACGAGACTTGCAACCAGAGGAGCGAGGAGCAGCGGCAGCTCGCCCCAGGTTAACCCCCTGGACCTGTCTCCAAGGCCCCCTTTCCTCTGACTCTCCCGTGAGCTGGCCCCCGTCTCACCTGGGCTCACTCTTTCCTATAACATTTCTAGAGATAAAGCAGCCAGCCTAGAATTTCTTCTGTAGCTTCTATCCTAGCCCTTCCTGTCCCACTGTCCCCAGCTCAAAATCACCTGCACTCTGCCCTGGCCGGTGTGGTTTAGTTGGTTGTGTGTCATCCCTCGTAGGTTCGATTGCCAGTCAAGGGCACTTTCCTGGGCTCAATCCCCGGTAGGGGGCGTGCCGGAGCCAGCCCAGCGATGTTGCATGCTCACATCATATTTCTCTCTTTTTCCCTTTCCCTCTAAAAATCAATAAACGATTCTTAAAAAAAAGAAAGAAAGAAAGAAAGAAAGAAAGAAAGAAAGAAAGAAAGAAAAGAAAAAAGAATCACCTGGACTTGTGTTGTGAAATCTTTCTTGCATGAAGTCAAGAACCCACACACCACAGGCCGGCCGCAGGCAGACCTGCTCTGGGCTCGGTCCCTTTCCGGTAACAATGCGAGCACTTGTGAGTTTCGCTTGTTTTCATAGCCCTTGGTTCCTACAACTCCCACTCATTCACTTGTAATACTAAACTGGTTCAAGCGGCTGGAATCACCCAGGCCTACTCCATTGATAAAACAACTCCATATGCTTATGCCCCGAATTGTTTATCTTCCATAAAGCGAGGAGCTGGGGCCAGACGGTCTCTAAGGGACCTTCTGCTCTGATGTCCTCCCGCTTTAAGAATACTTCTATAATAGATTACCCGAAACCCAATTTAGAAGAAGGCACATGGCACACCAGTGCGCTGGGGCTCTGGACACAGTGGCGGTTGCCCCATCGTTTAGAAAACAAATAACACCCAGAATCCAGCAAAGTCCCCTGTTCCTCAGGCAGTAAATCTCCTTGACAGGATCTCAGTGTGGCTCCAGCTGCTTGGTGCCAAGTTAGAGCCTTTGCCTCTCACCCCTCTTCGCATCCCCCACTCACTGTTTACATTAGCACATGACAATACAGACACTTCCTGTCTAGTGGAGCCCACCACGCCGCCCTGGGGACCTGCAGTCTCAGCTTCGGAGGCCAGGCTGATGATGGGGGCCAGCTGTCTTGGCACAGCCAGAAAATGACGATTCTTCTGGCTGCTCGGGGAAAGAGGGCATTCTGGAGCCACGGTGGGAGTAACCCAGGTGTGGAAGGAGCCAATTACTCCACTCATCAGCGTGAGCAACCCGTTGCGTGATGAGTTAGCTATGCCTCATGGAAACTGTTCTGTGACTTGCAAATGTGTGGACCGGTGGGCACTGGATTTGCGTGCCCTCCCAGAGGAGAGAGGGGGCCCAGGGACAGCACAACTTCATCCATATTCACCTTGAAAGAGAACTCAGAGCTGGACTCTATTTCTCAAGTGGATTTTAAAGAGGCAAGGGGCCTGTGATATGGTATGCCCATTAGCTATGGCTAGACTGCAAGGCAGGCAATTCACACCCAGACACTTAAGAGTTAACAAAACACACACTGCAAAGCTCTCTGTGCTCTTTAAACCACTATAGGACCAGACTTACTGCTTCTTCCTCACCCTCAGTTATCCTCCACCCACCTACCACCGATGCCCAAGTTTCTACCTAACCCTCCAGGAAACTCTTTTAAAGTCCTCCCCTGGTTTGACCAACTTGTGCAGAATTGACCAACTGGAGGCCTGCATGGTGGAGGAGACCAAACCACAACATCGGCCACCTCCAACTCCCAAACTGGCCGCTGTCTTCCTTGCAAGCAGCGTTCTGCAGGTGGCGCCTTGGCCCCCTGGCCTGGCCCGCTGTCACACCTGCCACTCAGCACGAGTTAATGACATGCTATCAGTCAAGTTAGGCAAACTGGGGTTAGGACAGGCAAGGTTACTCCCAAGGTTACCGCAGCGACTCACCACTGTACATGTCAGGGTGGTTTCTTAAGGACGAGTCATTATAGGGGTGGTCTGCAATAAACAAAAGAGGGTGAGCAAACAGGGGGCCACAGAGGCATAAACGGGGGAGAACAAACAGAAATGCGAAGCCACAAAACAACCGCGAGCGCACCCGTGGTCTCTTGCAAAGGAAAGACGCGGCGAACTTGGAAAGGAAATACGCTTGGTGCAGAACAAGCAACACAAAACAGCCCAACAAAGAAAGAAAAGGTTAAATCCTGCAAAAGAAGGCAATAAAAAAAAGATAAGTTTCTTTTTAAATTAAAAAAATTAGGCTTGGCCCTTAACTGCTTGGTCCTACAATGTTTTCAAACAAAGGAGGTAAGGGTTAGTGATACCCCGGGGCAGTCTTTGAACAACTGCTTCCCATCAAAATCCTCAGGTGCCAGGCCTCTGGGTCAAGCCAGCTCTTGGGGGCTAAAGAGAAAGGAGTGTCAGTGAGCCTCGGGAGAGGGCCGCGTCCTGTCTGAACAGAAGCCAGGTTGCAAGGGGTGGGAGTGAAGGAGAGGAGAAAACCGTCCAGAGAAACATTCGTCAGCAGAAGGGGAGACAGGGACCCTTGGCAGCAGCCGACAATGCGTGCTGACCAGCAACACGCACCCCCAACCTGACCAGTGGGTGCCACCCTGGTCTCCGAGATGTATCTGTGGGCGGAAAGGCCTCCTTCTGAGGAGGCGAGGAGTGGTCCAGGGAGCGGGCAGAGCTAGGCTCAGATTTTAGGATTAGAAAGGGCATTTGGAAGGAGGGGGAAAGAGGTAGAGGGGGCAAAAGAGAGAGAGGGGCATGTGAGTGCTCTGAGTTCTACACTGTGCACTGGGAGAGGCCTGCTGACTAAGCCGAGACTCAGAAGCGAAGACATTCCTTCAGGAGCGAGACCAGAGGCCTCGTTCCAACACTGGGCTAGTAAAACCCTTGGGCACCGAGAAAGCATTTTGACGTAGGGCACATGGTCATGCCGAGATCGGTAAGTAGCTTCTCACTGTTGTGCCACCACCCCTTCCAGCCACTGGGTTCAGGTTCTGTCGGTAGCACAGGCTGGGGGTAGAGCGCTGACTGGCAGCCAGGCAGCCAGCCCTGAGAAGCCGTAACTGCCCCCCGGCCTGAGGGAGGAGAGGTGCCTGCCAGGACGTGGGCCTATTGGAGGACAGCTCAACCCGGTCACAGCTGGCTGGAGACTGGCCCTCCGGGGCTGCATGGCTCTGCATCCCAGCAGGGCTCAGGACTTAGCCCTTAAGGCAGGGTTTGTGTAAAAGGCCTGGCCTGTGTTTGGAAGCCAGCGTGGGTTTCCCTGGAGCTAAGGGTGGCTTGACCTGCAGGGAAAGAAGAGGCGGAGTGGCAAAGGGTAGGCCTGGCTGTGGCTGGACTCCTGGGGGAGGGGACGGGGACGGGGACACACAGGGGACAGGCCCTTGTTCCGTGCTCCCACCCAGAGAAGAGACCCGTGCTCGGACTGCGCCTGCGTTTGTGGACCTGGGAGCACATCTGAGAAGTTCAGGGAGGCCTCTGACTCCTCGGAGAGCGTCACTTAGACACAGATGTTAGAAGGAGGCGGTGAGTGCTCCCGAGACTCCTCGGGGAGACCTCTTCCCTCGCTAAGGCTGCCTCCTGTTGTCCAGAGGCACCGGGTGGACGGGACCTGCTCTGAGTGGGACTGCACCCCAAACAAAGTTTAGAATTGATTCCAGCTGGCAGTGCTGTGTTAGGCACCCCTTCCTTTACTGCAGGAAATACAAAACCCACTGAGATGAGATTCATCCCTTCCTGGTGGGCGAGCCGTGGCAGAGCCCTGGAGGGCTGAATCTTGAAGCTGCCCCACCTCGGCCTCCCACCCCGGCCCGGTCCTGAAGGCATAAGAAAAAGCCTGCGTCCTTGCCAGGCAGGGAAGGGGAGAGAGCACATGTGGGCTGCTCAGTGCCCAGAGCTTGCTCCCACCCAAAGCTGCCCGCCACAATCCAGGAAGCCGGCAGGGTCTGCTCCCAGCGCCCAGGGCCCCTCGGCATTTGGAGGCATTTTCAGTGGCACAGGAGACCCAGAAATGGAGCAGAAACAGACATCCCTTTTCTCAGAGGAAAGGTAGTTTCTGGAAAGACCAACTTGTAAATGTGGCTGAAATCTCTCACTGCTTAATGCCACAGAGGAGGGCTCTTCCCCACCTCCATCCCCGCCTCTGCCTGTGGGACAGCGGAGGCCTCTGCCAGGACCACGGGCGGTCACCTGACCCAGTCGTCACACAGCAGGCTGACTGCAGGCCTGTCCCGGGCAGGGAGAGCGGGACCTGGGATGGCAGTGCAGGCGTCAGGGATCGGCTCAGTGAGCAGCTCCTGACCTCCCCTCCCTTCCCCGCACCTAACAGCGCCAGCCGCGTCCTGGACCTGGAGGCCGCTGAGGTCCTGGGCAGACCACGCTGTCCTCCTGGCGCGGCCAGCTGGCAGGCAGGCACCCCTGGCGTGCACCGAGGAGACACCTCAGACAAACCAGCTTGTCTAGAATAAGAACAAGGGAGGGGCAGCAGCCGCTGGAAGCTGGGTGACCTGCCGGGAACTTGCGGGGCTTCTCCCTAGGTTTCTGGCCATCCCATTGCTCAGAACAGAGTGTGGGGACCTGCAGAGGCACCAGGGGGAGGATTAGAGGTGGTAAACCCGGGTCAAAGAGCGAGAGCAGATGAGAGAGGGGGAAAGAGGAAAGTAAGAAAGAGGGAAGGGGAATAGAGAGGAAGGAAGTGAAAAAGGAAAGGGGAGGAAATGAAGAGAAAGGAAAAAAAGAAAGGGGGGGAAGCAGGGGAAGCTGCTTCTTGTGGCTCCACCTGGAGGCCACGTGGGAACGGTGGGGTGGGCTGACGCTTGGCACTGCAGGTCTCCATCGGGGGCAGGGACTGGCGAGGAAAGGGGAGCGCTAGGGGGTCGCCCCACTTGTCCTGAGTGAGGCGTGAGCTCACCCAAGCCTCTCCCCCACCTCCCATGTCCCTCCAGGAGGCATCGCCAGCCACCTGCACGTGTGGACTCCAGGAAGCCAGGGTTCAGCTTCTTTTCTCTGACCTGAGAAAGCTTCGCCTGGTCTCCCTCACAATTGCCACTGTCCCCAGTGTTGGAAGCATCATTCACAGCAGAGTCAGGCAGACTGAGGTCTTTGGGGAGGGGGCCTCTCCCTGGAAGGCCTGTTATAAATCCATGGGGGCAACCCACACAGCTTCGTTCAACGTCCTGAGCGGGCTGAGGACTCGCAGCCAAAGCTCCAGGCAGTGAGTCCCGGCAAGGAGTGTGCCCGGAGCTGATCAGCTCCTCTCTCCTCCGTGCCGGGCCAGCAACGCTACCGTGGGTCAGGAAATGCCGATCTGCTTTGGTGCCCGTCGGACAGAATCAGGGAATAAAATGAAAACAAACAAGACCAAACATCAACCTGCAACCTGCAAACGCAGCGATTCCATATGGCCCGACATACACATGTCCCAGAATCAAATGCAACTCATGTACCAGGTGCACCCACTCGTGTGGATGTTCTGTGCTGTGGCTTATTCTAGAAATAAAGATAAGCAAACGATGACGAAACATAAAAGAAGTAATCGAGCTGAGTGCACGAGAGGGGTGTGGGTGAGCACCTAAAGCAATGCTTCTCCGGTTCTGGGGTGTCCAAATCCCCCGGGAGCTGACGGAGCACAGGGAGGCGCCACCGGGCTGGGCCCGGGGACCCTGCCAAGTCCCCGAGGGCATTCTGATTCCCACCAGCGTCTGAGAAGCACTGACTCAGGGCAGGACCAAGCTGAGCTCGAGGCTTCCGACCAGGGGGGGTCTGAGAGAAGCTGAAGTAGCTCAGGCACAGTGGGCTGGGAGGGTTTCTAGGTCAGCCTTGGGGATGCGTCTCCCCCAGGCCCAGGCACCCGGGGCTGCTCGGCTGGGTGGGCTGCCGCCCCGGCCCCCAGCCCCCGGCAGGGCCTGCACTTACTGGTGAGGACCTTGAGGGTGAATGGGTTCTTCTGCTGGATGGTGTGGGTAAAGTGGAAGCGGGCGTTGCAGCTGTAGTCGGTCTGCATGTCCTGCACCATCACGTTAGAGAAATACAGGTCCCCGTTATGGCCCTGGGAGACGCGCTTGTCTTGGGTGATGGGCTCCATGGCTGTAAGGAAGCAGAGGTACGGGGAGGTTAGCAGAAACAGTAACAGTAACAATAATCGTGATGTTTCTGGCGAGTGGGCACCTGCAGACGGCCAGCCGGGGCCAGGTGCTCCACATTATTACCTAACCTCACTCTCAACTCTGAGGGGGGGCTTATTCCCATTTTACAGCTAAGAAAGCAGAGGACTGACTGTTTTGTTGCATAAGCAGTGAGGGAGAGGAGGATTTAGACTCAGCTCTGCCTGCCCACCACGCCCATGCTCTATGACCATACTTTCCTGTCTCCCATTCATGCCACAAGAGACCAGACTGGCCTGGAGGCCTGAGGGAGGGGACATGATCCTTCAGATGCCCCCAGATCAGGAGTCAAATTCACTGGTTTTATTTTTTTATACCCCGTCCCCCGTCCAGTCCCCAAGAAAGCAAAGAGCACTACCAAATATAATTGAAAGATGCATGCCAATCAATGGTGCACACCATCAGTTTTAGGACGCTTCTCAGTTTTGGAGATGGGAAAACAGGAAATGTGTGCTTTTTAGAATTAATGGCATCATAGGAGTGGCTGAGAATGCTGACTACAGTGTCCATATATTTTCCAAGCACTGCGTCTGATGTCAATGCAAACGGCCAGGTCTCCAGGCTATCTGGGTTGTAAAAATCTCCTGCTAGGGCTGACTACTCATAGCAAACGCCTTCCTACCCCCACGAGTGTTCTCTAAGCCACCATTTCTTAAAGCATCAGGTTAATGATGCCAACTTTCTGACGATGGGCTGGTCAGCCCTACAAATCATTTATCTAAGATTTCCTGTAGGCCTACTATGTGCAGGCCCTGTGCTAGGTGCTGGGGAAAGAGAGATGAGTAAGAAAGCCAGTTCCTGCCGTCAAAGAGCCTGCAGTCTAGTAGGAGAGACAGTGGATAAATAACTGATTGCAATGCAGTGTGGTGAGTGGGAAGCCCGGATAAGCAGGGGATGAGCCGAGAGACCGAGAGACGGAGCAGCCAGTCCATTCTAGGGGCTTGAGCTGTGGCTTGAAGGCTGTGTAACATCTATAAGGCAGAAGAGAAAGGAGCTAAGACAGGGACAGTGTGTGTTAAAGGGGAGAGCCCCGGAGAAGGACGGGGGGAGGAGGGGAGGGGCGGGGGGAGAGCTGGAGAGGCAGAAGGGACCGGATCAGGAGGGAACTGTGTGCCAGGGAGTCCAGACTGTGTCCGAGGTGATGGAGGAGCGATGAAAGGTTTTGAGCCTATGAATGAACTGTCACATTTGTTTTCAGAAAGACCAGGAAGGCCAGGTATGGGTAATTACTGTAACCCAGGGAAATGTGGGTGGGGAGATGTCAGTGGGGATGGAAAGAGGAAGAAGGCCATGAGGTCTGCTCAGAGGCAGTGTGATGAGTGCGACGCAGGGGCTGAGAGAGGAGGCTCTGACCTGTTAGCTCACAGACCAACGCCCAGTCTGTGGCCAGGCAGCCTTCCCCATGGATGTGCTCGGTGGCGAGGGGAAGAGATGGACAATGATTGGGCACAAAGCCACTCCCACTCTGCAAAACACCTCACCTGCTGCCTCATTGACAAGGCGGCCTCTTTGGTGAGAATTCGGGAATGGGGAGCATGGGATGGCAGGCAGGAAAGCGGGAGGGGGGTTAGACGGACAGTTGGATGCATACATAGGGAAGAAGGAATGGAAGGCGGGGGGAGGGGGGAGAGAAGTGGAGGGAGGGAGGGAGGGGAACCAGGAAGCAGTCCTCCATTCACCCTCATAATGCCCCCCCGCCCCCCCGCTTTAGTTTGAAAACAGAGGAAGAAATTGAGGTCCAGAGTGATTAAATGAGCCTCAGTCCAAAATAGAGCTGGGACAAGCTCTGATGGTGCACCGTCCCCCTGCTCCAAGGATCCTACCTCCCACCACCCCTCCATCAGAGGTTTCATTCTCGCATGCTCCACTTCTGTCCTAACAGGAAGTGCAAATCCAGACCAACCAAGGGTTGAAAGAGGCTGGGTACCACTCCACCTTCAATTGGCATATTAAAAACACAGTTTCTGCCCTGGCCGGGTTGACTCAGTGGTTAGGGTGTCAGACCAAAGGATCATGGGTTCAATTCCTGGTCAAGGGCACGTACCTCGGTTGCAGGCTTGATCCCTGACCCTAGTCAGGGTGAGGCAACCAATGTGTCTCTCTCACATCAATGTTTCTCTCTTTCTCTCCCCCTCCCTCCCTCCCCTCCACTCTCTCTAAAAAAATAAATAAAATTTAAAAAATCAATGAAAAAAATACCCTTGGGTAAGGATTTAAAAAACACACAGTTAATCCTCTTTTTTATTCTTTTTACTTTTGCTCACAAATATTAGCGAGTACTTACTGTGTGTCTGGCCCTGTTATAAGTACTTTGGATGCATTAACTTATTTATCCTTATAATAATTCTATTCGATAAGTACAATTGCCAGCCCCATTTTCAAGAAGAGGGAACCGAGGCCCAGAGATGTTAAGCAACTTGCTCAAGATCACACAGCGAATAGCAGCCGGGCTTAGGAAATGAGCCCAATCAGCCTCTCCACAGAGCCTGCTCTTAGCCACGTGGCCACCTTACATCTGCTTCTCACAAGGCAACCCCCTCCCCCCTTAACACGCCCACCCTCCTCCCTAAGATTAAAATGGACATAAAACACCGATCCCCGAGACTTACAGCTGCTCATCCAGAAGATGACGGGGGACGGAAGTCCGGGCGGCGGGTTGCACTGGAGTGTCAAGGGGGCGCCTTCTTGAACCACCACGGGGTCTAGATTTTCCTTGGGCCACAGGGGAGATTCTGGGAGAAACACAGAGGAGGATGAAATGCGGGTGATGCTGGGGCCGGGCAAGGAGGGGGGTTAGGGGCCGGCATGTGAGGAGGGAAGAGGAAGCAGGAGGACAAGCGAGACAGGAGAGAGGGCCAGGCCCCTGGTCCAAGCGAGGCAGAGAAGAGAGGAGAGAGGCCTTTGTCTGAATGGATGCATGTCTTCAAAGGCTCCTCTCCTTCCCCTCCTCCTGTGCCCAGAATGGCCGGTGACATTGTTCAAGATTCTGGTTTAGAAGCTTCCTTTCCAAGGAATCGTTTTGAATTGGGGTGGCGCGCTTTGCTCAGAGGCAGAAAAGCAAGCAGGACCTGCAGGGCCCCCCCAAAGCACCAACAGGCCAAGGGCAGGGGTGGCCCTTCTAGAATGACCGTCCATGCCCCACTCCCATGCACCCAGGAGCAGGGCATCTCCACCCTGCCCCCCGCTACTCACTGGACACCTGCAGGCGGATCCTATTGGACAGGGCTGTGCCGAATTTGTTGCGGGCGAAGCACTGGTACTCCCCCTCATACTCCTCTGGCCGCCCTCCACTGCGGAAGTCGATCACCAGGGTCCCGGACCGCCTCCTCATCGACACCCGGGGGTCCTTGGCGACATTGAAGAACCTGCTGTTTCGAGTCCAGTGGAAGCTGTGGACAATGGGGGTTGGGGGGATGGGGGTGAGGCAGGAGCAACAAACAGTAACAGGGTGGGTTTCGGGCTCCAGGTGACAATCTCAGGACCCTAGTCCCTGACTGTCACAAAACCACACCTTCACACCAACGGGCCCAGCTGGACACAGTGGCAGAACCACCTGGGCATCCTGAATGCAGCGTTCCCCCCCCCCCCCACCTCCAGGTGAATCTCGGGAGCAGGTCCCCGACAGCACTTGCATCAGCCAAGGCTGGGAGTCATGCTTCCACGAGGCACATACCGAGCAGCCCTTGGGGCCTATGTTCTTTGGAGGAGTGGGCAGTGATTTTTATTTTTTTAAAATCCAGAGTCAGCTGCCCCTCCCCACCCCCCAGGGCTTCCCAACCTCCAGCTAGGAAGGCAAACCCAAGTCTCCATTTCCCCCAGGATGCGCTGGCTCGCTCCGCCTGCCTCCTCATAACAGGCTCTAAAGCAGTGGTTCTCAACCTTCCTAATGCCGCGACCCTTTAATACAGTTCCTCATGTTGTGGTGACCCCCAATTTCATTGTTACAAGTTGAACATAATTAAAGCATAGTGATTAATCACAAAAACAATATGTAATTATATATGTGTTTTCCGATGGTCTTAGGCGACCCCTGTGAAAGGGTCTGCAGCGGTTCTCAACCTGTGGGTCGCGACCCCTTTGGCGGTCGAACGACCCTTTCACAGGGGTCGCCTAAGACCATCCTGCCTATTAGATATTTACATGACGATTCATAACAGTAGCAACATTACAGTTATGAAGTAGCAACGAAAATACTTTTATGGTTGGGTCACAACATGAGGAACTGTATTTAAAGGGCCAGAAGGTTGAGAATCACTGGTCTAAAGCGAAGGGAGGTGGCTCAGGCTACCTGTGCCCCTGCTCAGTGGGTGGGATGTAAGGCAGTGGCCGCACATAATGGCCCAGAAGGGGCCGTGTTGAGAGAAAAATCAGCCTCCATCAACCTGAGCCCGGTTAGAAGCATGTCCCTCTGCTTCTCCTGGGGGGACGCGTGTCTAGCTGCCCAGGATATAGCCTTAAAGAAGCAGGAGCAGCCGTGGCCGCTCAGCGTTAGTCGTTGTCCCCATAAAGGAACATGGGGCAGCCCAGACCTCAGAAGCAAGGTCACCCAAGCCCTGCCTGATCCTTCGGGGCGATCCTGCTTCTCCCACTGTGGGCGAGGAGGCTCTGCTGTTCCAGGCCCACGGCTCTTACACGGGCTCATGCAAACTTGGGCGGAGGAGGGGCGGGGGGGCAAAGAAAGCTGCCACACACCTGAGGCTACACCCTGCCTCCTTTCTCCTACTGACCCCCCCCAACACATGGGGTCCTGTCATGTCTGGGTCTGAATCTGGCACGAGGCTCCTGAAAGCTCCAGCCTGTGGGAGCTGCTCGGAGGATGGGGGAGGATAGCACACCATCTCCATCCACGTCGCCAGTGCTTGCCGTCCAACAGAAACACACCTGGCTGGGTGCCAGGGGCCTGGGTTAGAATCCAGGCTCTGCCACTCTCACGCTGAGTGACCTTGGAAAGGCACTGAGTGTCTCTGTGCCTCCATCTCACCTCCCTTCACAAGGACGTAGGTCCTTCCCCTACACGACTCTGTGTGAGGAACAACTCGGACACAGAGCCTGGCACGCGGCAGGCTTTCAACTCGAGTCTGCCGACCCATGTGACACCGACATGCACACACACGCACACACACATGAGCAGGGACGAGCTCAGAACACACTCGGTGAGCTAGGGAGAGGGACTGCCTCTGAGCTAAGGGTGGCAGCACAGGCAGCGTTACACTGAAAGCCAGAAAGCTCACCTAGTCCTGGCTTGTGGTGTGACCTTAAGCCTCGTAGTTTCTGGTCCCAAGTTTCCTCATCAGCAAAATTTCTTAATTTCCCAAACTGTACCTTCTGCCTAGTGGGGGCTGAGTGGGTAAATGTAGTTTCTCGGAGGCCAGCTGTCACCGGGCCCGGGGCGCGGGCGGAGTCGAATGGCCCCTGTGGCCCCTCTGGCTCGCCCAGCTGGGTTCCTGCCGGGACACTCACCTGGGGGCCGGGTTCCCCTTTGCTTCGCACTCGATCAGGATGTTGTCGCGGGGATCCACAATGTGGTCCTTCACCGACTGCTTGGTGATAGTCGGGGGCTGGGACACTGCAACAGGGCAGACGGCAGGCGGTCAGGCTGCAGGAACCTGCCGGGCCCCTGGCTCAGAGAACGGCTGGAAGAGCTTCGGAAACCACACAGAAAAGCAAGCAAGCAGGGTGGGCAGGGCCCCATCCAGAGGCCACGGGGAAGGGATGCGGGACAGACACCCATTAAGAAGAATCCCTTTACGATGTCCCCTTATTCCCGTGAGAAACTGAAGGCCAGGCTTCTGTTTGACCCACTCTTGTGTCCAATGCTTAGTACAATGTCAATGTTTGTTGAATGAATATAGGAACAAAAAGCAGCTAGATTTTCGGAACTTCGTGGCTGTGATGGTTCTGAGCCCTGGAGGGTCAACAAATGGCCAACCTGTGGCGAGGACGGAGCTGAAAGAGGCTTTAGTCCCCAGAGAATTTCCCAGGGACTTGTCTGCAGGCCAGTGAGCATCTCCTCCCTCCCGGTCCTGAGCTGCACTTCTCCGGGGCTCCTGTGCCAGCCGCCCTTCTCACCCGCCTGCCTTTCATAGGCTGAGCCTCTCCCCTTCCCGTGTGGTAAGGGACCTCACAGAGCGCTGGTGTCAGGAAGCCGCAGCAGGCAGGGCGGAGAGGGCAAGGATCCCGGCGTGCCCTCACCTGGCCTCCGCCCGCCCACCTTCCTGCCCTCCTACCCCCCAGAGGCACAGGTGCAGAGAGGCGCCCGGGACTTACGCTCGTTCTGAATGCTGGCTGTTAGTCCGGTGGGTTAGCATTGTGAGGGGAGAGAAGAAGACATCAGTTATCACACAAGACCAATCGCCAGGTGTCCTCAGGGCCCAGCACGCAGGGAGGAGGGAGATGCGGATGGGGGGTGGGACCGTGCCCGAGCTCTCTCCTGCCAGCTGCAGAGCTCAGTGGAGCCAGCAGGTGCTTCCTGGAGAAGGCGATGCCTCCCCCCAGACCAAACCACGCAGTGGAGCAGAAAGACCCGCTTCTGACAAATGAAGGTGCTCCCAGGTAAGGCCAAATGTCGAAAGTGGCAGCACTGCTCCAAAGAGGCTGGGCTCTGAGGATGCCACCCACCACCTCTAGATGCTCCTCGGCCAACCGTGCCAGGGTGAGGCTGAGAGCCAGGGAAGGGGTGGATCCACTGCTATAGGACAAAGCCCCGAGGGCCCAGCGAGGCCCACGGACCCGCTCCCGCACTGCCCCTTGCTCTCTCTCACACATGAAAGCACCGTCTTCCCTCACTGTCTCCTCCTTTGCCGGCCTCTGGACAGCTCCAGGGACGGATGAATGGCGAGTGCCCTGCTCCCGGCAGAAGCCCCGGCCCTACGGGAATCCCACTTCGGAACAACTGCGGAGTGCCCAGCACTCCCCTCACTGCTTTTTACAAAAGAGATAAACAGGCCGGTGGCCACACCTGAGATGCCGTGTACAGGCGTGTATGTCTCTCACACGTTGACAAGCACAGGGACCACTGGGGGTGATGTTAACATGCAGGTTCTGATTTGGTAGATCTTGCATTTCTCCCCAGCAGCCAAGTGGTGGGCTGTGGACCACGATTTACATACAAGGTTTTAGATGGTATGTTCTTGGTGGGGACCAGGTCTTGGTTGAAATTTGTCCGCAGAAAGCAGCACACCTGTTGCTGTAACGTTGAGAGATACCTTTTCCTCGTGATTATAGCAGAAGAGACTACGCCTTTCCCATTTCATCCGGGTGTGGATGCCAGCGTTGTGCTGACTCTTTCCCAGGGAGTGCTTCCTGGGAGAAGCGGAGGCTGCTGCTGAGCCACGGTGACCTTGACGCTTTCAGATGGGACCCTATGAGACGTGGACGAGGAGTTCAGGGACTCAGAAGGGAGCAGTCACTCAGAGAGGCAGAGGCAGAGTTAAGACGGGACCAAGGGCTGCAGAAAGAGTCACAGGAGAGAAGACAGGCAGCAGAGAGGGGAGGCGGCGGGTGGCAGGAACGGTGGCCTGCTGTCCACGCTATCAGTGAGTAGACGTCTTGAGAGCAAGACCCACGGAAAGGCTCAGAGTAATTCCTTCAAGTGGCCCGGTTCTGTGTGGCCGGCTGGGGCACAGAAGGGAAATTCTGTCTGGCCCCCCGGGTAGGAAACAGTAAGACATGAAATGCCGGGGGCGAAGCAGAAGTCTCTGGATTCTAAACGTGTGCTCCGTGCAGCTCCCACTGAGCAGTTTCACCCGCTGGGGTTTTCTGGAGGGACTGAAAGCAGTGGGTTGGTTTTGGACGGTACGTCCTCTCACGGGGGCGTGGGCGGTTGTGAGAAGGGGCCACTTTCAGGAGAAGCAGGGCTGACACTTGACCCACCCCTTTGACCGCAGCCCAGGCCCCTGGTTTGTCATCTCAGGGTGTCTCCTGGGCCCTCACTCACAGTTGAAGGCTCTGGCCTCCCCCAGGATGGAAGGCCTGACAAGGGCTCTGCTGTGCCCCGGTGGGCTCCCACCTCTTTCATCAACTCAAATGCTGGCTCAGTGGAAAGATCCCCGGACGTTCTCCAGGGAGTCAAATCCAGGGAAGGGAAGTCCTTGGTCAAGATCCCCCCGGAAGTCTGTTCTAGGACTGGGGTGAGGTCCAGCTCTTCTGCTGCCTGACCCAGAGCTCCTGGTACAGACCCAGCCTTGGCCCGATGGGGCCGTGGCCTCCGTTCTCCTTGACATTCTGGACCAGGGGTGGGCAAACTTTTTGACTCAAGGGCCACAATGGGTTCTTAAACTGGACCGGAGGGCCGGAACAAAAGCATGGATGGAGTGTTTGTGTGAACTAATATAAATTCAAAGTAAACATCATTACATAAAAGGGTACGGTCTTTTTTTTTTTTAGTTTTATTCATTTCAAACGGGCCGGATCCGGCCCGCGGGCCGTAGTTTGCCCACGGCTGCTCTGGACAAAGGTAAGTCAGAGGAAAGACCTTGAGGGAGAAGAGACTCACGGGACAGTTAGGGCTGCCGGGATACGGATACTCAGGCAGCTCTACTGTGCCCCGGCCCCACACTGAAATCAGGCCAGGGGCTTCTTGAGAAGCTACTTGCCTCAAGCGGTAATGACATCTCCAGCCACACTGTGCCACCAAGGAATTTATTACAGGGACACAACCGACCCAGAAGACAAGCTGCCACAGTGAGAAGACAGTGGGGACCGCCTGTCTAGTCCTGTGATCTCCCCCCCACCCCTCGTTCTCCATCCTGTGTCACCCCACCTGCCCTTCTCTCCTATAGAACTTGTTGGATGACGAATGTCGAGTGGAGAATACACTTGTTCTTTTGGCTCCCAAGACGGAGGAAAGTCTTCCAACAGACTCTGCAGGGGGTGAGGCAGATGCGGCCCAGTATTCATGCACCCCTTTTCTTTCCCTGACTCTGACCTGTGACCTCTGGGCTCATCCCTCGGAGGATGGAGTGTGAGTGTGAGTGAGCACTGAGCCCTCCTGCAGCACTGTTTGGGATGACGGGGAGGAGAGCCAGGCCACTGCCCTCCTCTGTGGGTTCCTGGGAGAAAAATGCTGAGTCCCCTGATGTGGAGAGAGAGACAGGGGAAGCTGCCAGCAGACTCACTTTTTGGCAAGCCCTCTTTGGCTGATGAGGTGACTCTTTGCTTTCTTCAAAGGTCACACTGTTCTTGAGGCTGGGGAGGGGGTGCGTGTGACTCCGTTGGCAGAGTGATGGTGACTGGAGGCTGGGCACTTCAATGAGGGACTGTGTAGCAGCCCAGGGCTCTGTTCCTGGAAGCCTGCTGCACCCAGCCCCCCTCAGAGCAGAAGCAATGCCCTATCTTCCTGCACAGAAAATGCCCCCTATGGGGCAAGGGAGCAGAAGGGCACACCTGGCGGGGCAGCCTCTGGCCTGAACCCCTTCACTACCCCTGCCCCCAACTCACAGGGAAAGTGATGTCCCCATGTCTTGGCTATTGTGAAGAATGTTACAAGGAAGAGGGGGTGCAGATATCTCCTGCCTTAAGCCACAACATGGATGGGCCTGGAGGGCAATTATGCTAAGTGAAAGAAGCCAGACAGAGAAAGACACATCCTGTATGTTCTCACTTACATGTGGAATCTAAAAAAGTCAAACTCAAGGAATAGAATAGAACGGTGGCTGCCAAGGTCTAGGGGGTAAGCGGTATTGGTCAGAAGGTACAAACTTCAAGCTATAAGATGGATACATTCTGGGAATCTAATTCACAGCATGGCAACGCTAATGAACAATACAGGCATACCTCGAAGGGGGTTGATTCCAGACCACCACGACAAAGCCAATCTTGCAATAAAGTGAGTCACAGGAAGTTTTTGGTTTCCCCGTGCATATAAAGAGGGATTACACTATTCTAGAGTCTACGTGCGCAATAGCATCATGTCTAAAAACAATGTACATCGCTTAATTAAAAAATAATGTGTTGCTGAAAAAATGCAAACCATCATCAGAGCCTTCAAGGGTTTGAGCCTTGACGTTGATGGCTGCTGAATGATCAAGGTGGTGGCTGCTGTAGGTTGGGCGACCGTGGGAATTTCTTAAAATAAGACAACCATAAAGTCTGCCGCATCGATGGATTCTTCTTTTCACTAACAGTTTCTCGTAGCATGCGATGCTGTTTGATAGCACTTTGCCCACAGAACTGCTTTCAAAACTGGAGTCAGTCCTCTCAAACCCTGCGGCTGCTTTAACAAGTTTATGTGACATGCTAAATCCTTTGTTCCATTTCAACAGTCTTCACAGCACCTTCACCAGGAGTAGATTCCATCTCAAAAAAATCACGTTCCTTGCTCATCCATCAGAAGCAATTCCTCATCCTTTAAAGTTTGATCATGAGATTGCAGCAATTCAGTCCCATCTTCAGGTTCCACTTCTAACTCTAGTTCTTTGCTATTTCCACCCCATCCACTGAAGCCTTGAACCCCTCAAAATCATCCAGGAGGGTTGGAATCAACTTCTTCCAAACTCCTGTTAATGTTGCTATTCTGGCCTCTTCCCACGAATCATGAGTGTCCTTAATAACTTCTAGAATGGTGAATCCATTTACTTTGCCCAGATCCATCAGAGAATCACTATCTATGGGATCTATAGCCTTACAAAATGTATTCCTTAAAAAATAAGAGTTAAAAGTGAAAAGTATTCCTTGATCCATGGGCTGCAGAATGGATGATGTATTAGCAGGCATGAAAATAACATTAATCTCCTTGTACATCTCCATCAGGGCTCTTGGGTTCATTGTCAATGAGCAGTAATATTTTGAAAGGAATCTTTTTTTTCTGAGCAATAGGGTTCAAAAATGGGCTTAAAATATTTCATAAACCATGATATAAAGAGACATGCTGTCACCAAGTATTTGTTGTTCCATTTATAGAGCACAGGCAGGGTAGATTCAGTGTAATTCTTAAAAGCCCTAGGATTTTTGGAATAGCAAATGAGCACTGGCTTCAACTTAAGTCACCAGCTGCATTAGCCCCTAACAAGAGAGCCAGCCTGTCCTTTGAAGCTTTAAAGCCAGGCATTGACTTCTCCCCTCTAGTTATAAAAGTCCTGGGTGACAGGCCTCACCAGTTTGGCTCAGCGGATAGAGCGTTGGCCTGCAGACGGAAGGGTCCCAGGTTCGATTCCGGTCAAGGGCACATGCCTGGGTTGCAGGCTCGGTCCAATGTGCAGGAGGCAGCCAATCAATGATTCCCTCTCATCATTGATGTTTCTACCTCTCTCTTCCTCTCCCTTCCTCTCTGAAATCAATAAAAATATATATTTAAAAAATCTTAAAAAAAAATAAGTCCCGGGTGACAGCCTCTTCCAATAGCAGGCTGTTTAATCTACATGGAAGATCTGTTGTTTAGTGCAACCATCTTTGCTCATTATCTTGGCTAGGTCTCTTGGATAGCTTGCTGTGGCTTCTACATCAGCACCTGCTGCTTCACCTTGCACTTTTATGTTATGAAGACAGTCTTTCCTTAAACCTTATGAACCTACCTGTGCTAGCTTCAAACGTTTTGTCTGCAGCTTCCTCACCTCTCTCAGCCTTCATAGAATTGGACAGTCAGGGCCTTGCTCTGGATTAGGCTTTGACTTAAGGGAATGTGGCTAGTTTGATCTTCCAGCCAGGCCACTAAAACATTCTCCACATCAGCGACAGGCTGTTTTGCGTTCTTATCATTCGTGTGTTCACTGGAGTAGCATTTTTCATTTCCTTCAAGAATCTTTCCTTTGCATTCACAACTTGGCTCTGCAGCACAGGAGGCCCAGCTTTCGGCCTGCCTTGACTTTGGATGTGCCTTCCTCACTGAGCTTAATCATTTCTAGCTTTTGATCTGAAGTAAGAGACGTGCAACTCTTCCTTTCACTTGAACACTTTGAGGCCACAGTAAGGTTATTGATTGGCCTTAATTTAAACACAGTTGTGTCTCAGGGAATCAGTGGAGCAGTCAGAACACATGCAACATTTATCAATTAAGTTTGCCATCGTATATGGGCACGATTTGTGGTGCCCCAAGACGACTTCAATGGTAACACCAAAGGTCACTAATCACAGATCACCATAACAAATAGAACAATCATGGAGAAGTTTGAAATACTGCAAGAATGACCACAGTGGGACTCAGAGACCCGAAGTGAACAAATGCTGTTGGAAAAATGGTGCCAGCAGACTTGTTCAAGGCGGGGTTGTCACACACCTTCAATCTGTAAGGAACGCAGCATCTGTGAAGCACAATAAATGAGGTTGCCTGCACTACATTATACTTAAAAGTTGTTAGGAGAGTAGACCTTGTAAGTCATCGCCACACACACACACACACACACACACACACACACACACACACACAAAGGTAATCACCTGAGGGATGGATGTGTTAACTGACCCTACTGTGGCCATCATTTCGCCATTCACACATGTAGCAAATCATCAAGTTGTACTTCTTCAACTTACAGATGTTATATATCAATAATATCTCAACAAAGCTGGGTGGGAAAAGGAATAACTGATCTTTCCCCAGCCTCTTCCACTGGGCGAGAAGGAAGGATCAGCACAGACCATGTGGGAAGGGGGAGGGGGAAACGGGGCTGTAGGGGACCTCTCCCCAGGGCAGCTGGAGGGCTTGCCTCTCTCCTGTCTTGTGTTCGGCTTTTGTAGACTCATTCTGGAGAATTCACTATGGCATCTGTGCCCGCAGTCACCAGGGAGGTGCGCGAGGCAGCGAGTTTCCTGAGACAGCCTGGCGCGCCGGAATGTGTCGCGATGGACTCACCTCCTCATTCAGAGAGGCGCTGTGGTCCCATGCTGGCCCTGCCACTTACGAGCTGGAGAAACTGCTCTATTTCTCCCTACCTCAGACTTCTCACCTGTCAGCTAAGGACAACACATACTTCGTGGATTAGCTGTGAGAATCTCAGGACGCGATGCCGGAAGGCACTCAGCTCTCTGCTGGGCACACGCCGCTGCTACTCCGGGAAGTTCTAAGAACTGAAAGGAGGCAGGTTTGCTAGAGGTCAGGGTGGGGCATGTGCAGCGCCAGATTGGGGGGCGTCCAGAGACCTGGGCTCTTCTTGCGACTCCATTGCCCATCTGCTGTGTGACCCTGACCAAGCGAGGGCCTGAGTTTCCGTGAACGGAACACAGAGAGGATGGACCCTCCAGGCTGGGGAGGGCAGGGCGCTCCAGCTCTGGGCTCTGCAGGTGGTCCTGGAAGAGACTGACAGCTCAGTCACCTGCCTGTGGCTCGGCAGAGCTTTAGAAACCCAGCATCCTAGCGTAGATGTCAAGGCCATCTATTTATGGGTTCACCTTGCAGGAACTCCTCACCCACCAGCCCCGGGGATCAAAGTGGCAGGTGAGGGAGGGAGGAGAAGCGGTGGGAGAGAAATGAGCCTTCACCACTTCCTTGATAAGCAATTTCCTCAGCAGCCCCTCGTCTCCAGGGGGAGGGAGGGCCTTATCGTGCTCCTTATTAGATTGTCTGCCTGGGCCTGTTAATGAGAATCTCCTTGAGCCAGCTGTACAGATGGTCTCCACGGAACAGTTCCTCTCACAACTCCCCTGCCCCCATCCCTGAGTGTCTCTGTGTTTGTGTTCCCCTCCCCCCCGCCAATCACACACACATACTTGGGGCTACCGGGAGGACAGCAGGGGCCTTGTCCATCTTACTTCCGGGCCTACCCTATAGTTTCTCCTGGGCTTCTTTATCCAAAGTGCCCACTCCTTGGGGGTAGCTCCTATTGGTGAAGTGGGTGGGAGGGGGCTGAGACACCGGCAACTCTTCTCTAAGCTCTGCTAACTCCAGGCCCCAGGGCCTGGCTCCAGGGAGCTCCGTGGAGATTTCTCGGGGGCTGTGTAACTCTCCTACCCCTCCCCAGACATCTGTCACCTGGAGAGAGCCCAAGTCAACACTGGCATCATGTGGGCTCCATCTATTCCTGGAATCACGGGATAGGGCACGGAGGTGGTGTGCCCACGTCTCAGCACAGGGATGCAAGACGTCCTGATAGGAGTGTCAGGGCTGTGCCAAAGGCGGTGGGTGCACCTCGAAATGCAGGGCCGAGGACCATGCTGCCAGTCAGTGGGCCATCAAGAACGTACCACAGATACGGCTGGTGGAGACACGGTGAGTTCAGCACGCTAAGCCCCTTACTCTGTGATTCTGAGGGCCAAGTGATGCCCCGCCCATAGGCAACAGAACGGCATGGATGTTACTTTTCAGCTCTGCTGTGGGAGAGCTGGAAGCCGCAGGGATCAGTGCCCGGTTCTCCCACAGCGGCATTCTAATGGGCTCTCTTTCAATGTCTCATGTAGCCACAGTCGTCTGCAAAATAATCCCCTCCCAACCCGCTCCCAGCCACCCGTCTTCCTGGTCAGTCCAGCCAAGAGGGCCTGGAGGGTCCAGCTCAGGAATGAGGCAAATAACCACCCACTCACTTGGTCCCTTTGATGGGCAAGTCAAGACCACAGAGGACACTCCGACGTCTAAACTCTGCCACTTCTAGTCCCGCTCAGCAGGCTCCGGGCAGCCCGAGCCACAACCACAGCCGTGGAGACCGCTGCAGACTCACAGTCTCACTCTCCAAAGCACCAGCCCGCCTGCTTCCATTTTGGGGAAACCCAGCTCTGCACCCGGAATCCAGTTTCCCCCTGGCCCCCCAACCTTCTTCAGAAGTGGGTCTTAACTTCCCTCTGCCCCAAAGCGGGAGATTAAAAGAGGAAGGGGAACTCACGATCCTTAGGAATCTCGATGGCCCCGCCCAGGCCGAGGAGGCAGAGGAGGACGGCTGCGTGGACCCAGGGTGGTGGCTGCGGCCTGGCCATCCTCAGCGCCGGGCCCCGCTCCCCGTGCCCCGGCCGGCGGGGTCTTGCTGCTTCCAGCTGCTCTGACTCAGCCTCCCAGACAGAGCTCAGCTGTGGAAAGAAATACGACAAGTGAGTTATTTCTTAAACTCATGGTTTGTTCTAGCAATCCTACGGGGCCGGCAGGATGCAAAGGTCCCCTGGGTCACAGCCCACTGTTCTAAAATAGGGCTTCTTGCCCTGACCGGTTTGGCTCAGTGGATAGAGCGTCGACCTGCGGACTGAAGGGTCCCAGGTTCGATTCCGGTCAAGGGCATGTACCTGGGTTGCGGGCACATCCCCAGTAGAGAGTGTGCAGGAGGCAGCTGATCGATGTTTCTCTCTCATCGATGTTTCTAACTCTCTATCCCTCTCCCTTCCTCTCTGTAAAAAAAAATCAATAAAACGTATTAAAAATAAATAAAATAGGGCTT